CAACTTACTATAACATTAATAATGAATAGTTATGTATTTTCACATGTATTAAACAAATCTTCAATATTCATATATATCATTATGACGATCATCAATATACATCTTCATTATAACATTCATCAGGATATAAATAGTATTTGTCATGAAGAATACATCCTCTCCTATTCCCATTACAATGATTGACCGGTTGTTACCTCATTTGATCCTTCTACTTCTAGTTAGCTTAAGAAAAAACAAGAAGATAGTGTATCACAAATATAGTATACTCAAGTACTTGAAAGCTTCATGTATATTATGAAATGCACAAGGTTTGGATCTTGCATACACGGTGAGTAGACTAAGTCATTACTCACATTATCCTTGTAAAGATCATGGTATGCACTAGTAAGAATGCTATGATATCTTAAACATGCATTACACGATGGATTGCTTTATAAAACATATCTCAAATACATTATGACGCCAATTGGATTTCGGATAATTCAAAAAGTTAGTCCATAAGTGGATATGTGTTTACATTTGATGGAACAACAATATCTTGAAAATTATCTAAACTAGTATGGCCAAATCGGCTCGGTCTGCCCCGGGACCAGGACCGTAAGGACCACTTATGGGATCGAAAACCAGAACCGGTTGGGGTTTTTGGTAGTTTCGTGGGACCGGGACCGGTTCCGGTTATGGGACCGGCCCGGCCCATCTCGAAAATTCAAATAATTTTATAAATAAATGTATTTTTAAATAATTTTATAATGTATTTTTATAAGACAATGTAATTTTAATTATATTAAAACGTATTTTTAAAGTATATTTGAGTGACCCAATTGTAAATTTTATAATGTATTAAAAAAAACATATCATTAAAAAACTTTTAAAAAAATCTTAATTTTTAATGGCGAGACCGGTTGAGACCAGTAGGGACCGGGACCAGCGGCCCATAACCGGTTATGAAGTACCTTGACCGGTCCTACCATTTTGACCGGACCAGTTATGAGAAAGCTTAGGACAGATTGGGAAGGGCCTGGCCCGGCTCGGGACCAGTTTCTGGTCATCACTAATCTTAACTGATAGTGAATACTCGTTCAATGATGGAAGTTGAGTTTCTTGCTTTAGACAAAGCTGTTGTAGAAGCTAAATGCTCAAAATTTTCTTGAAGGTATTCTGTTATGGCCAAACCCTGTCACCACCATTTGTAAACATGGTGATAGCATGGATTATCTTATTAGAGAAAAGAACCAAATTTACAATGGCAAACCAAGACATATAAGGACATGCCACAACACGGTAAAGGACTTGTTGAATAATGGAATAATTTCCATAGATTACATAAACTCAAAATAAAATGTTGCAGGCCTTTGACAAAGCGCCTAAATAGAGAGAAAGACATATTCACATCGAGAGGAATGGACTTAAAGCCAACACAATGAATCACTACTTGGCGGAAACCTAACTTAGCAACATTGGAGATCCCATGGTCTAGGTTCAATAGGCAAACTAGGTGAGGAAGACTCAAGCGATTCAAACACACCTGTATATTTATTACTTTTATAACTTCAATTGTGTCAATAGTTCTTATAGTGATCTACTATGGAATGTTCTTGATTGACATCACCTATGTGAGATTGAAGTAGGATCGTATCTACATTCTCCAAAATTCTTATGAAGGAAGGATCTTGTTCATGAGCGAAAGGAACACCACCGTAAAAATTGATACATGGGCAAATATGATGTATGTGATACTTATTATTTATATTTACTATACAAAGTGGTTAGTTCAAGACTTATGATCACTACCTACATAATAGATTCGATTTGTACTCACTACGGGAGGTTGAATTCAGAAAGACACATTTCCTTATGTATATCATATTTGGAGGATGTTTGGTAACAACTTAATAAGTTGTATAACATGTATGGCTTATTCGGTAAGCTATACATAAGTGTTTAGAAATGGCTTATTGATTCAACAAAAGGCTTATTTGCTCAACCTAAAAAGTAGAGTCATGTACATTCATTCGACCCTTTTCCCTCACTACCCTTGGAAAAACACACATCTGCCTCCTCCCCCGTAGATCCATTGCTCTCTCCTCCTCCTCTTGCCCTCACTATCATCCTCCTCACTGTCATCCTCCTTCTTTTACCGTCGCCACCATCTTTTTCTTGTTGCCCTCAATCTGTTGTAGATGTTTTTCCATTTAGAAATTTGAAGTGTGTACATGGTGATGAAACAAATCAAAGAGAATATAATATGTAGCGTTGGATTGATCCATCCCTGAAACACCCTCTCAAATCGACTCTCTTCATCTCTAGAATTGACTCTCTCGAATTGACCATATGGTTTTCGGTTTCTCCCCATGGTCTTCCATTTCTCTCTATGGTTTTCTATTTATCCCAATGGTTTCTTCTAGCCTATAGTTACTCCCGATTGTTTTTTATTTCTCCTTGTGGTTTTCATTTTACTTGTTCTAATAAGAAGGTTTTTCTGATCAGATGTGTTTTTGATCAGATGAGGTTTGCCATATGGTTTTGCTATAATTTTTTTATTGTTGGTTTCTCCATGTTATCATATGTGTTTTTCCGATTTCTCCCTATGGCTTTTTGGTTTTTCCTTGTTGGTTTTTGCTTGGATTTTAACATGATGTCGTCACAAACAAAGGAGAAATCGATTGATTTGGTTAGGGAGGAGATATCGATTGGTTTGATGGAATTGAATGTTCAACGTAAAATAAAGGGTAAAGTAGTCATTTTCACCATTAAGACTATTTATTAAGCATTACAACCGAACAACAACTTATCAAATATCATTCAGACAAATTTATCACTATAGACAACTTTATTCATATAGGACTTAATGGAAAACTTACCGAACAACCACTTAGCTTCATGAAATAGCAAAATAAGTTTCTACGTTTATATTATCTTATTTTCTATACGAATGTGGGGCATTATTGCAATTTGAATAGAAAATGTAGGGTATTGTTGGGTATTTACACTATGTATGAGTTCGACATAGGAAGAAAAAGGAAACTTTTACTTTTGTGGGTTTATAACCTTATTCCCACATTGATTAACAAAATGGAGAAAAGACCAAGTAATTGAATTTTCTTTTGGGCTCTAGAGGGAAACATGGTATATATTTAATGGTCAAAGATTGGGCCTTTGGCCTTGGATTCTCTTGATCTTTAAATTTGTTTTGTTCTAGAGAGACTTACACCACTTAAGTCGCTTGATAGGTCTTATTTTCAATTGAGATGAAAAACGCATAAATATCTTTCATTTCTAGACTTTCAAGATATGAAAATTCTCCCTCCATTTCTTTCCATTTGCTAAGCTATTTCAAGAAACATATTTATCGATTCGATGAAATTGGATTAACATATAACAATTCCATTAGATAATTGTATCTTTAAGGTGGCGTCTGAAACCAATCACGATTGGGGAGACATTTCGTGTTAATCACGATTGCATTGTCCTAACACGAAATTTCCCACCCAATCGTGTTTGGTTTTAGACGCCGCCTTAAAGATACAATTATATATATATATATATATATAGAGAGAGAGAGAGAGAGAGAGAGAGAGAGAGAGAGAGAGAGAGAGAGAGAGAGAGAGAGAGAGAGAGAGAGAGAGAGAGAGACTTGGGATCATTTGAGACCAAGGGTTTTTCGTGAGACCCGTAAGACCAATTTTCAACCCTTGGATTAGATCTACAATCTGAACATTCATAATCACAAAATTGTCACGAGACTTCTCAATAATCACAAAATTGCCACCGTGCAATTTTAGATCATTAGATCATTAGCTTATAAAGTTGATCAATGAACATAAATTGGTCTTATGGGTCTCATAAAAAACCTTTGGTCTCACGTGAACCCAACCCTATATATATATATATATATATATATGTATCGCGTGCAATGCAGCTTGATATATATCTCGATTTTAATGTTTCGTTTTATTCCGTCTCAGTAGATGTATAATATATTTTTTATGTGGTTTTGAGAAAGTGATAATGTTTTTATTTTTGAATAAAATATAAATTTGAAGACATCATAAAATTTCGAAAATAAATATATCAATATTAGTATCAAATTAACTATTTTAAAAGTTATTGTTATTTGTTTATTTTGTTTAATTCAATTTTTTTATAATAATTTAATTTAAATTTAATAACGAAGTAATTTATTTTTGTTTTAATAATATAATTGTATATTTTTATAAAGATAATAATTAAGTATTTTGTTAAACTCAAAGATTATCTTAATTATATTTTAGATTTTTTATATTCAAATTAAAATATTTATCTTGTATTTGACTATATTTATCTACAGTTAATTACACGAATTCAGATATGAAACTTTAATAAGTTATATTTACTTATTTATAATATTAAATTTTAAGTATTATGTATCAATGAACAATATTTAATACATAAAAAATAGTTTTTAAAAGTTTTATCAATTTAACTCGATCCTACTCAATAAAATTAATAGTCCAAAAAGTCAAAGACGAAGATGAAGAAAAAAGAAAAGTCGTTTGCGTCTATAACCGGAAACTTTCCCATACAGATCCCACTTCGACGACTTTATTTTATGGGGCGATTCATGTATTAAACTTGTGCATGCATGTGCCCATCTCCTCAACCTTACTTCCCAAGTTTCTGGTTTTCCTTGTAGATTTTCTTTCATTATTCTAACAAAAAGTAAAATCTTATGCTTTGTCTCTGTTCAAACCAATTTGGCCATCCACCAACATTGGGTCGATCATGGCTCCTGCTTTCCATCTAAGTCAATTTACGTTAACGAACAACGTAAGAATGTAAACGTGACGTGGCCCGATCTCAAGTTGAAGCCAAAGTCCCGTAAATTACATGTGAAACACACCCCCTCTTTACATGTAATGATGTCATAAAGCAACATACCCAACACAAGGGGGTTGAGTATATATAAATACGTATGAAGCCCTTTCAGAAACTATACTTAAGATTCAACAAACATTCCAAAAATGTTTTTGCTTCTTCAACTAATTGTTATCGTTGTGGCCTTCATCTTTGATGAACATGAAGTCGCAGCACAATATGTACCACCTTACACTTCCATAGTTGTTCCGGTAACTAAACATATCGATGCTGCTAAGCCTCTTTATAGCGTTCAGATCAAGACAACATATGTAAACATGGATTACTTGCACGCAAACTTTCTAATAGACGTCGATGCTCCTTTCATATGGCATGACTGCGTTCTACAATGGAACATATATCCAGGCAGTTGTCCTGCCAACACGCTTTGCACCTCCCCCGTTTCTTGTGAAGAATATCAATGCACCGATGTCCGAACTACATACTCATACGAGAATCCTTCCTGCCCTCCGGTGACTAACAGTTCGACGTTACCTGGTTGGGGATATTGCACGTGTCCGGTCAACATAGTAAACCCTGTTACCGGATCGTGTAGCCAAGCCCTGCTCAACTATAACGAATTCACGGTGGATGTTAGCAACGGTAGAAATGTTTTGAATGGTGTATATGGTGCATACCCTAACGCCGCGTGTGTTCCTTCTTCGTCATTTGCATCATTCCCTGCAAATGTTACCGGGGTCATGGCGTTTTCATCCTCGCCTTACGCGTTCCCGGCTTATTTATATCAACCACTCAAGAAAACGTTAGCTCTTTGTTTGCCTAGCTCCTCATCTGCTCCGGGGGTTCTGTTTTTTGGAGCTGGTCCTTATTACCTTCTTCCCCATTTAAATGTTGACGTAAGGAGTTTGCTTTCTTATACTCCATTGCTAAAGCATCCAGATTCTTTTGGATACTTTATCGGTGTCAAAGCCATTGTAGTTAAACAGAGATCAATCGATCTTACAGGGATTACCACTACCAAGCTTAGTACAATCGAGCCTTACACCACTCTCAGAAATGATATTTACACACGTATGGTCCAGATGTTTTCAATCGCTACCATAGGAATCCCTCGTGCTAGGCCGGTTGCACCGTTTGGCCTTTGTTTCAGGAACTTCACCATTAGCAATCGAGTTTCTTTTAAGGTTCCAGATATCGATTTTGTTTTACCAGATGGAAAGAAGTGGACTATATCCACGGCTAACTCCATGAAGCAAATAACAAAAGACGTGACATGCCTGGCATTCGTAGACGGCGGTGCAACACCTGAGCATGCGATCGTGATTGGGACATTTCAGATGGAGGATAACTTTCTGGAGTTTGATTTAGAGAAATCAATTCTTGGGTTTAGTTCTTCGCTGTTACTTGAGCAGACTTCTTGTTCAAACTTCAACTTTACGGTGGTCAATATCAGTTGAAAAGATATTCAACTGAGAATGAATTAGTATCCATCAATGTAATAGTTTGCTTAATTTCCTATTAAACAACTTCTTGTTTAATGTTCGGCAAGTAGTGGAATAAACAACTTTTACGGTCGTGAAAATGAGTCGGTCACGGTTGATAGGATGTTCATGGTTTTTTAGGGTTTCCATGTATATAGAAAATTTCGGTTGCAAACCAACTTTAGTTTGTGAATCGGGAACAAACGAGAGTGCCCCACGTCTTGAAGGTGAACATTCATGAATTATTAATGAAAAATAATACAATATTTATGATAAATAATGCATCATTAATGATCAATGATAAATTGATAAATTATTCATGATGAATAACCCGTGAGTGTATGAGACACATAGTACGCTCCACTTTGTTGCCGGTTCACAACGAAACCCAACCATATATATATTTTGCGAAAAGTTAAACATTTTACGAGAATACGAGAAATTTCAATATCATATATGATTACATTCTTTTGGATGTGTTTGATTATATATGATTAAACTTGTGTAACATACATGTAAAAATATATGATATAAAACTTCTCACATTTTGTGAAATGTTTAGCTTCTCGTTTAAATCTACCATATGTATATATACATATATATGTATGTAGGGGCTGGTTCAAATACTAACCCAATATTTTGTGCAAACTATGCTAACCCATCTTAATCGTTCATTTTCTCATCTAACGGTTATTATTAAATGAGATTAAATAAACAATAATTTAATTAATATATTAATTAATATGTGTATGAACAATTGTTCAAAATCGTTCATAGGATAAATTGGTCAAAAATTTGTATTAATTAATATGTGTATGAACAATCGTTCATCTTCGTGCCTATATCAAGGTATGAACATTCATGTGAACCCTATGGTGTGAACCCTAGATATATGAACATTAGCTACACCGTGTGAACCCTAGATATATGAACATTAGCTACACCGTGTGAACCTAATGAACACTATAATCGATATATGTTGGTCATATGATCATGTTCTTCAACCTTGATGCATGCTCGTAGTGATACACATGCACGACGATGAGACATGCACATTAACAAAAACAGGGGTTGTGCAGATAAAACCGATACCTGTACTTTATATCTGTTCGTGCATGATGTTCGTTGTAGGTGGTTTCATATGTGAATTAGTTGTCAATAAGATGAACATATTTGAATCTTCATGTCAATATTAGATGAAGATCAATTTGAGATATTGTAGGATTTGTAACTCCCAATTAAAATATTTGGGAGTTACATAAGAATGACTAATGACCTAAATACCCTTATCATTAATATGTAAGTTACATTTTAACCAAACCCAAAGATGCAACATTATTGGTTGATGTGGGTTAGCAAAGTTTGCATAAAATATTGGGTTAGTATTTGAACCACCCTCTATGTATGTATATGTATGGCAAAAAAGCAATCAACCTATGCAACATGACATATACTTGAGCCCTAAGCTACAAAACATGGAGATGAGTTGAATAACTGAATCTATCCATAAGATTGTGGAATGTGTAAAAATGGCCTGGGATCTATATATAAGAAAGTTTCTGCTACGGCCGTAACAACATGCTTTTTTAGTAGTATGTTCACATGCATTTGAAAATAACAAAACGATAGTTTAAATCTTGAAAAATAGCAAAAAATAATAAAATTTTGGATTCGCTTAAGTCAATGGTGCAAGTCTTGAAAAGTTCCGATTGGTTTCATTTATATGATTGGATTAATTTGGAATTGAATTCCACTCCGATTCCATATTTGATTCGAAAGATTTTTGTATTTAAAATTCTGGAATTTCATGAAAATCTTACAAATATAAGATTTAAAATCCGACGAGGGTGGATGATATTTTATGGAATTTCGTATAATTTGTACATAATAATGTCTTAAAACATAATAAAAACATTTATTTTGTAATAATTAACTAAATTAACTTTTAAATATAATTGTTTTTATAAATTATTATTAAGGAATCAAATTCAATTTACAAATCATATAAATCACATACATCAAAGATTTTAAATCCGCAAAATTATCCATCAAACCAAACACTTCTAAGCATAGGCAGACCCATAAATCTTTTTAAGGTGGTGGCACAGTTTATCTATAAAAAATATCTTTTTTTTTCCACAATATTAATATAGATATGTTGGTTGGATCATTTTCCTTACATAAAACACATTCATGTTCGAGTTCAGTCTACAAATAGTTTTAAATATGCAAGAGGTATATAAAAAACAACAAATATGACAATTAAGGGACTCAAAACTAGGCTTTTTGTAACACGCTTAGTTGATCCTTACAATGGCTTAGCTGAAAATTCTCAGTAGTAATCACTCGGAGAACGTTGAAAGACCCTCGGGCACTCTCAACATCCCTACCTCTTCATTCCTTGTTACTAACTTTGAGCACTCTTACCCTTAATTTGTTTTTTATAATCCTATATATCAGGTCCCGAAGAAACCGGTGCTATTCCTTCAGTCACTGAAGAAACATATGATATTGTTGAGAATGTCAAGCTTCTCCTCCTTGCCTTAGATATACTCATTCAAGAAGTTGGTTCTCTTAAGACCAAGGCAAATGACGTTCAACAAGGTGTCTCTTCTTCCCAAGATGATTCTGGTGAACATCTAAATGCCATCAATGCTGAAGTCATGGAAGTGAAGACGTGATTCTTAGACAACGTTTTTCACCATCAAATATGGGGAGATTGTTGATCCAAACTCTCTCAGTGATTTGATGATGATCCTTTATTCAGTGTATGCTTAAATTCTGTTTCATTTTTAAGTTTCAGCGATCAGTACCTTGAAGACAAACTCACATCAAAGAAACTTTAGCGTTGTCGAAGAAGTAGCTTTAGATAAAGATAGTCTACTCAGATATGGAGAAGTGTTCAATGATACTATTATCTGAATGAAATGTGAACTTTGACCAAGTTATCAGTTATACCTGAAAAACTCCTCAACAATTGCTTCGATGCTAGATCAATATATTTCTCATCAAGATTATTTTATCTTATCCACTTGCACAAAAGTACACACTCCATGCCTTGATCCAATAATGGTACAACACAGTCTACTTTATTGTCTCGAATTGTGCAACACTCCGAGTTAACTATTCATATGCCGCCAAAAGACTGCATCACTTGATGGACAAGGACATGCATTCCACTCCTCTCTTGACATGTGGATTGTATCTTCTGAGGTGCATTAAATGCATAGGATATAAATAGTTGAGAAAACTCTCCTTTTTAGCAAGTTTTCTTCTACACTTTTCTCTTATCTTTATTTGTGCAGGGAAAACCTTTGTAATTTCTTTCTTGATCTTTAGAAAATCGTTGTGATCAAAATTTAAATTGTTTAGACTAGGATCTCTGCTTTTCTTATTCCATAACAATCTATAAATTCTTGTGTCGATTTTTCTCTATAATCAATAAGCGAAATTAGAAAGTGAAAAAATTGTGTTTGTACTCAAATGCCCCTTTTATAAATTGTTTGAGCCTTGTTTAAACCCTTTTGCAAGCAACAATAAGAATAAAACATAAAACATTAAAGTGATAAGTCTGAAAGAGCACTTCAAACTTTTCTTCAGAACTCTGAGCCTTTACTTCCAGAGCTCTGAGTCTTCTGCTCCAAATCTCTTAACACAAGTCTGGTCTTCCATTTCAAAGTTTATACTTAAAGTTCTTTGAACCAACACCAAGGTAGATCTTTTAGATTCCTTATGTTCATCATGTGAAATGGGAAGGATTAACAGAAGTTCTCATAAAGAAAAGTAGGAATCTTACTGCAGACCTCTCTTGGAACTTATTCATATGGATTTTTAAGTGGTCTATGAGAGTTCATAGTATTAATGGCAAGAAGTACATGCTAGTTACGGGTGATGAGTTTTTCAAGATATACATAGGTGGAATTCTAAGGTTTAAGTGTGATGCTATAGAGATCATAATTGCCTTCATCAAAAGGATTCAAGTATTTCTTGAACTCCCTATTCAGAAATTAAGGAGTGACAATGGGATAGATTTCAAGAATGAGACTCTTCAGAGTTATCTTATCTCTATGAGAATCTCACATAACTTCTTAGCTGTAAGGAATTCTCAACAAAATAGAGTTTTGAAAGAAAGAATAAAACTCTGGTTGAGATTGCAAGGACTATGCTTGCTTATTCAGACTTACCTTTGTTCTTATAGGCAGAAGAAGTTTTCACTACATGTTTTACTCAAAACAGAACCATAATAAACCAAAGTCTAAATAAGATTTCTTATGAAATAATAAATAAGAGAAAGTTTAACATTAAATTCTTTCATGTATTTTTTGGGTACATCACATAATACTAAATTCTTTAATGTATTTGGTTGAAGGTGCTTTGTGCTAAATGATAGATATAATCTTGGAAATTTTGAAAAAAAATGTTAGTAAAGGGATATTCAGTGGATACTCATCCACATCTAAAGCCTATAGAGTTTACATTAAAAGAACAAAGATTATTCTTCAAAGCATCAATATTACTTTTGATGATAAAGTAACATAGACTTCTGAATATTCCAGTTCAGGACTCTAACTCGAAATTTAAGCTTCTGTACAAAACATTGTATAACCTAAATCAAACTAGACTAACATTTCTGAACTTACTTTGTCAAATTCAAGTAATTCATAACTCAAATTCTTGTTTAAGAATTTGTTTGATGATTCTCTGGAAATCATTACAGAATATCAAAATTCAAGTACATTCATAGAACTAGTTGTTCCTACTTCAGAAGGACCAGAACCAGTTTTAGAGGGAGTGAGAAAAGGAATACAAGAAAATGAGATCCCTTCCCAGCCATTTCTTAGTTGGGCAGCCACATATACTATTGCACCATATTCTTTGGTGGTCAATACTAAAACATGGAGCGAGATCATCCCAACTCTTGTATTAACCCGACCTATTCACTCTCTTATCTATCAACAAATAGGAGTTTCAAATGCATTCATGGGACAAACAACACATGATCTATCCTCTTTTCATCTGGAGATGATGGATATTGAATAAGAGGAATATATGTCCCATCCTC